TTAATATATGTATTAAGAATTTTATGGATTAATTATTTAAGAATTTCAAAAATATAATATTATATGCGCATAGAGTGATTTCTCTTTAATGATCATATCTTCAATGTCATATATCAGCCTCAATCATGTGGTTCATTGATTCATGTGATTTGATGATAATTATGGGCTGAAATAATCACTAATGAGATGTTTTAATTATTTTCGAATTTCAAAAATACATTAGTATTAAATAGTGAACAAATGCTTACATTGGAGTTTTATTCCAGTCAATTTTTTCAAATCATTGATTTATTGAATTTGATGATTAATGAGCGGTAAATGAATTTTAGGGATTCATTTCCACCGATAATTACATGCTAAAATAATCACTTAAGAAATGTCATTAATTATTTTTGAATTTCAAAAATGCATTACTATTAAATAGTAAACAAAGGCTATACATTGGAGCTTTACTCCAGTCAATTGGAAATTATTTTCAAATCATCCAGCATTAATAATTGAATCAAATAGATATTTACCTTTTCTTTTATGACACCAAATGGAAAGAAATCACTAATGTTGTTTTTGCTTCTTTTTTTTTTAAATGTTTTTTTTGTTTGACCGAATTTAAAAGAGAAAGTTTAGCACCCAATTAATTGGTAGAATTTAATTGCGATTTGATACAACGTTATTTAATGAAATTAAGAAGGACTATTAGTGCAATTATTGTAAATATCTTTTATGTCAACCTGTAAGAGAATGACACGTAAGATTTTATCCTATGTGTTAATATGAGGAGAAGTTTGATTTTCTCTATCTGATTTCTGTCTTAGTATAATACTAGTGATGTCTGGTCGCGCAATGCGCGACCCTGGCCCAATATATCTGTACATCTTAGAAATATTTGTATTTAGAAAAAAAAATTTTGTATTTGGCCCAATATATTTTATAAATGTTTGAAAAATTTAGAAATGTTTTATAAGTGTGATCATAGAAATGTTTGTATTTGGCATAAAAAGAAATTGTATTTGACCCGGTACGTTTTAGAAATGTTTGAAGATTTTAGAAATGTTTTATAAGTGTTACTTCTTAAATATAAATAAACTTGATCAAATATATGTCTTGAATTAAATGCTAGACAAAATATAAAAGTATCCTAATAAGTTTAAATATTAGTAAGATAATTTATTGATGTTCTCCGGTTATGCCAAATCAATACTTAGTTTTGGAGATTTATAATAGCTTTGTAGTAAGCTTTCTCCCAAGGGTATACGCTTAATTGTTGAAACTATTTCTTCCAAAAGTTTATAAGTAGTAAAATATCAAAAATATGATTTTGAAACTGGTTAATTGATGAAATTGGTTGATCACAAATATGAGAATGAAAATAATGTAAATTTGCATAGGTTTCAAGCTATACCAAAAAAGAACTCACCTCACCATGGCAAATAAAAAAAAAAAGAAAGTAAAAGAAATTGAGAAATTTTTTTTTTGTAGGTAAAAATGTTGTATAAAAATACAAATAAACGTAGGAACATCATTTTTTTCCCTCTCCGCCTCAAATTCATAAAAGGCTTCCCCAAAAATTAGTTAGAAGAAAAGCGACCTGAACTATTTAGATGATGAGAAACAAAAAAAGTCCAAAAACTAAAATTCAAAAAGTATATTCTTGAAAGCTCGAACACAAAAAAAACGCGCTTTATTTGCAAATAAAATATAATAATAATAATAAAAATAATAATAATAATAATAATAATAATAATGATAATAATAATAATAATTGGTCAACTGGGAGTATGAAACAAAATAAAAAATAATTAAACAAAGAAAAAACACACTTCGTAACTAACCATATACGGAAAAAAAACTGAGACTCCATAATTAAAAAAAGAAAACCACTCTAATTGAATGAAACATTAAAAAGAAATTTAAAAAACCACACTTTGTAACAAAAACTCAATTAATCAATTCAATCTAAACAGAACTAAAATCATACAAAACTTCTAGGCTAACTAACTATATAAGAAATCACATCATATTACCTTACAACGGCTACGGTAGCTGTAACGGATGGACATATAAAAATAATAGTAATAACATTATTCTTGAACGGGAAAAACAAAAAAATAATAAAAGCCAAACAAATGATCTGTGGAAATAAAATCATTTAAATTTTAATACCTGTAATTGCACCACCACAACGGCCGAAGCAAGATCAATGAGAATTTTTTTTTTCCTTTGTGTTTATATAGAAAGGTAAAGAGAATATTTTTTGAAGTCGAAATTTTATCTGATCAGGATGTAGTTGATCATCACTAATGAAAAAATTGAACATGCTAATAGGAAATGAATATATTTCACCACATATTCTCAATTGATGATTGATGAGAAATTTTTTTTTTTTATTGTAGAGAAGGGATTGATTAGGGAGTCGATTGTCGTGGAGATGGGGATAAGGGTTTGGGTTTTTTATGAATCCGTTTTTTTTTTATAGCAAAAATAGGAGATGGAGGTGGATTTGGACTGTATTTGCCTTTTAAGTCTAGGAGATGTGAAAATAAAGATTTATTTTAAAAATATGATGTGGAAATGCCACATAACAAATGGTGGTGCTTTTTCTTAAGTGTGGTTTTTGTTTCTAATATAGTAAGATATATATATATATATATATATATATATATATATAAGTGTTAAATCTCAAATTTATATATAGGTAGAGGTGTTTCACTTGAATTTTGTTTCTGAGGGAGAAGCCGATATTCGAGAAAGATGGAAATTTCTTCAAATAATCAATCACGAAGTTGTGACTTTACTAACCTTCCCACCAAAGAAGAAAAGGAAAAACTGTACGGATGGACTAAAATATATTTCTCTCTTACATTATTTGATAAGGCTTTAATAGGGGAAACCGGGACAGTAATACAATAATACTCGTGACAAGATAATTCAATCAACAATTTAAGCTATTAAATCAGAATATCTACCCGTATGAAAATGATCATAACTACACTGTATACATCATAGACTGCAAAAATGGCACTACATAATCTCTCTTAAAGTATAATCAAGAAACGTAATTGAGTAGCTAGGGACTGGGTGGTTGATTTACATCACTGAGTTTTGAGAAGTAAATTTTATAGCAGATTATTTGGCATCTTAACAGCGTTGGAACTGTATAAATTGCAAATAGTTTGTGAGTTAAATTATGACTTGATCACGTTGTAGTTAAAGTAATAAAAATGTAGTAACATAGTTGTCGGCCGGAGTTAGTCTCTTTTTACTGTATAATTAAGAAGTTTACAGCTAACTTCAAAGATGATTAAGACATAATTATGAATTGGGCGGGGGGGGGGGATCAAATCAAGAATTCAAGGGCCATCTAAATTTGAAAGATGTACGGTTTAATGTGATCACCGTTAGCATTCAACAACCAAACTGAAACATCAAGAATTTCAGATTCTAAATTTCACAAAACGAAGGGAAATTTAGTTATTGTTACCATCCCACCTTAAACACCATCATTGACTGATAACTCATTCTTCATTAATTAGGAAGAGACTTTCGTTTCAGCTTCTGAATAACGCAAACTTCAGGCCAAATTATAGTCTCACTCAAGACAAAAATTTCCGTCATTCTACATTTGCATGCGGTTACGTACAGCCCCCATTTGATGACCGCAATCTTTCTTTTTTTTCTACAAACGAATTCCCTGTCGAAGAACGTAAAACATGTTTGATTGTTACACATAATATATTGACTCTCAAATTGATTAGCTATTGCTCATTAACATCAAATAATCAGTTTCAACTTTTGGGTACTTAAAGATTATTTAAGTCCAAATTCGATGAGAGCATTCTCTAACTGTAGGGACATTATTTTCTTTACGATTTTTTTAAGTTGTCTAATGACATAACCCTCTGTACGTACTTATTCTGGTTAGTAAAAGAAAGAAAAAAAGAAATTCTCAAATCTGCCTCCAAAAATAAGTCTTAATGATGTACTCCCTATGGTCCTTAATATAAGACATTTTAATTTATCTTAGATTTCACGATATACACATTTGTAATTGATAAAAAAAAAAACATGTTCAAAATATTTCATAACAATCAAACGAATACAAGGAATGTGAAAATGTGTTTTTAAGGTTTTTTTGTCAATTAAAAATGTGTACAAAGTGAAAAAACTTATGACAAATCAAAATGACTTATATTAAGGATCGGAGGGAGTATAATTATAATTTGAATAATGTTACTTTCCTTCATCAAAAGGTCAACGTAGAATGATGTGAAACGATCACGTTCTTAACTATTTTCGAAACCTTGACATGTAAACTTGTGACTTTTAGCTACGGCGACCGCGAGGCCAAGCGAAGAAACGAGAAGCAGCTCGCGATTAACCTACCAAAATTTGAGACGAAAATGATAGCTCTGACGGTAAAACTTGCCAAAATTTTGTGAATGTATTTAGTAACTTTGCTCTTAGTTACTTATTTTGATAAATAAATTCAGACGAGATAAATACATTACACACTCTCTGTATCTTAATTAACCCACCGCCGCTCTCTGAGTGAATACGAAACAAATCGGGTCAATTACTTTATCAATCAAGTTTTTGAACCCTATTATGACATACTCAAATTAATATTCAAATCTTGATCATATGTTTCATAGTCAACCGTATGGAATAAGTGAAACCAGAACATTTATAAATCAGTCGTCAATCACCAAAGCATACTCTTTCCGGTATCGTTTTTTTAGTACAAAAAAATGGATGGGAGGGAGTACTTACATCATCTTATAATGTGATGTGTTTGGAAAGTTCAGCATTTTTTTGGGTTCACATTAGTTTGTTACTCTCTCTGAACTAAGAAAAATACATACATTATTCGACATTACAATAATTGTCAGATGCAAGTAATGCAAGAACCAAAAATGGCAGCAAATACAAAAACCAAATCGTGATAGAGATGTAGTATATTAAGAACAACCCGTTAACTACTAGTACTATTCAATGCGTGATCCCGTCACCTACTTGTACGGCTGTACCTAACCATATCAAGATTAAAAATTAACAAACTTATTCTTACCCTCTTTAATTAGTTCAACAAAATGAATTCTTTTGTAAAAAAAGAAACGAGTAGAAATCAAATTATTAAACTTCAGGGCAAAATTGACATTGAAACTACCAAAATTAACTAATTATGGAAGAAAAATTGCGAATTGAAAAGATGAACAGAAAATTTAAGCAAATATTACAACTAATTGAGATCCCAATATTTACAAGTTGAACTGATTAAAACTAGAAATTTAACACGAACTCCTGGGGGAAAAAAAAAAAAAAAAGCCAAAAGAAAAAGCGCGCCAGGAAAACGCCAAAAAGACAAAACCCAGAAAAACAGAATCTGAAACCACTACCGTAATCATCATCACCATCAAAATTATCAATCGGAGAAGAGATTCTTCTTGTTAACGGCATAGCTTTTGCTCCTCGGGTACAGCATCCCAATTCCCTTCTTCGACGAACTCTTACCAAACTTCTTGCCGTCGACGCCGCCGGCGGCGGTGACGGAATACGGCTTCTCCTCATCAATCCTCGCCATCCCGACACTGATACTCCTCGGCGGCATCCCTTTTGGCCCGACAACGCCGACGCCGCCCAATCTCGATTGCGGCGGCGGCGGCCGCTGATTCTGATTGTTCTGATGTTGACCCATCATCATCTGGTGCTGAAGCATCAATTGATTAATATCCATCTTCTCTGCCACCGTCCGAGCAGAGGCCGCCCGGATTAGCTCCCTGAGATCTTCATTATCGTCGGCCCGGGATAAATTAGCACTAAAACTCTTTGGCAAGACGGTGGCGTAGCTTGGGGAATTGGTGCCCATGTAATTTGTGCCGTACCCGACTTTAGTCGCGTAGCTCGTCATACTCTTGACGTACAAATCCCTGGCTTTTCCTAAAGCCCTGAAAGGAATCGTGATGATTCTCAAGAATTTGTTTTGATGGCCGCCTTTTGTCTTCATCCTTACGAATTTCTTTTTGTTCTGGGTTTCCTCTGTTTTTGTGATGATTGAGATATATAGCTTAGATTAGAAGTTAGGAATTAGTATCAGAAATGGGTTAACTATATACTCTGCGAAAAACAGAGTGTGGATGGATCTGATGGCCTAAGAATTGGAAACTTCAGGTAATCAAACCAAACATGAATTTTTTAATGAGACTTGTAGAACAGTGTAAAGATTTGATTGAGTTGGGTTGAAAATTTGGGTTTTGAGGAGAAAATGAATAGAAGAGAAGAAGTATTATATATATAATTGAAATGAAGAAATCAGCGGCTTCACAGTAAAACCATGGCTGCTGAAATGTCGTTTTTTTTTTTCCGATTTAAAGTGTGAAATTAAAAACCAAATGCAGGTGCTGTGTGTGTGTCTGTGTGTGTTGATTATACTTTAAAAAAAAGGATAATATAGATGAGTTGGCGGCTTGGACGATTGATTAATTTAATTTCAATGGCATAATTAAAGAACGAATGCGCTTGGACCTTTTCAAAGCACGCTATCCATTTAGGCAATATATAAATATCACAAAAAGGAACAAAAAAAAAAAAATGGAGTACATCTAATAATTACTCAGCTTCGTTAGCTATATTGCGGTTTGGGTTCAATATGGTTCTATCCAACTTCTATAATGTGTTTTGAAAACCGGACCGGACCGGGCGATCGAACCGGTTCGACCGGGTATCGGAAGCCTTTACGGTCCGATTTGGATTAATAACCAGTAGACTTAAAAACCGGTTAAATTCGGTCAAATTCGAATAAAACCGCGATTTGACCTAGAACCGATACCGGTTAAATCGAAATTTTGAAATTTTGAAAATTAATTATTTTTTAATTTATTTTTATACCCGGTTTTTATTGGTTTTAAAAGCCGATCTAAATCGGTTGAACCGATAAACTAGTAAAACATTTAAATTACCGGTTCGTCTTCCGATCCGGTTTTTAAAACACTATTAGAGTATGATATTATAAGATTGTTCATCTTCATATTATTTTATTAATACGAGTTTTAGATTTATGACTGTCTTTATAAATCGAAATTACTACTATGTTATGATTCAGTTTCGTTTGTAGAAACTGACCTACTTATGTTATCTCTTTGTTTCTTCGAATTCTCCTATCAAACTTTTTTTTCCTTTGACATTGTATTGAAAATATATGATACAGACATAGAAATGATCAACACGAAATGACAGAAAGATGGTTTGCTAAGTCCTAAATAAAGTTCATAGTGAACCGTGTTAGTTGTTAACCAACTACATAGTTGTTAATTAATCAAAGTTAACTCGGACATTAATTATTGTCAAAACATATATTCCCTTGGTTCTTATTATAAGACATTTTAATTTTGTCTTAAGTTTCACTTAAGATATATTTTTAATGAGAGAAAAAACCTTAAAAATATATTTTCATATTCGTTGTATTGTCCTAATTATTAAGAAATGTTTGAAAGATTTTTTTCTCAATTAAAAAGATATCTTAGGTAAAATTTAGAACAAATCAAAATGCCTTATAATAAGGACCGGAGGAAGTATTATATGCGTAAGTGTACATTAATTTACAACGATACAAATGTGGGGATTAATTTAGTAATTTGATGGCATCATACTGTATTGATAAATTCATCATAAAAGTCCAACTTTCTCCTACCAGACACACTTCTGAGACGAACTAACACCAGAAAGTTGGCCAAAATTGAATATAATTATTAATATACTACCACTAGTAGTAGGAAGTAGCAGCACCAATTCTACAGCGTGAATTTTCTGTATTTTGACGTTGACTTGTTTTTTGCATTCGTTTTTCCGGCGTTTATGGTGAAAATAAGATAAATGCGTTGACCACAGGACATGTTTGATCAGGATAGATGATGATTCAGCACATTAAAGGAGAGATATTCTTGTTTTTCTTTTACTTTATTTTTTTTTTGAATTCGTATATTTTCTTTCATACCTGACATACTTCTTCGGGTTCTCAAAAAAAAAATTAAAAAAAAATACTTTTTCTGATTTCATCGATAAAATTAAAAAAAAAATTACTTAGCATTGAAATATTACGTATATTCAAAGGAATGATTGTCTTACGATTATTGATAATTAGATAATGACTAATGACGATGGATCCAAGCAACAAAGAACAAGGAAAGTTAGTAGTACAAGAAATCTACTGAAAATTAATGAAAATACGTGATTAAAACAAGCAATTTTACTATTATTATTATTATTATTATTATTAATATTTTTTTGGCTAAAGTAAACAATTCTCAACACAATTGTCGTTTATAATAAGTAAAAATACAATACGGATGAAATGTGCGGAAATAATTATAACTTGATTGTCACCAGAAATTGTTTGATCTAATCAAATTACGTCACTTTGAGAATATATGTTCATAGATTTCATATACTTTGGATGAAACAACTTTTTTCCTTTCTTACGTCTCATTTTCTAAACTTATTAATCGAAAAGTTGTTCCAAATGAATTCGTCCAAACCTTAAACAGAGTCGTATTGAATTTATATCTTAAAAAAAAAAACATTCATATAGTTTTTACCATTCAGACAAAGATCGGTCTCAAACGTAAGAATTCAACATTAAAATTAGTGGTACTACTGATGACGCTTTATTACAAATTTATTGTACGGGTACCGTAGTATTAATGCAGACAAATATATATTAATGAGAGTAATTAAGAACGCGGCAGTTTCTTTTCTTTGTCCCATGATTAAATTTGGGGTAGGTTTTGGTGGTCCGTATCGGATTCACGTGTAAAGTTCTAGCTTGTTTACATCTTGTGGAACCCCCGGACAGTAACTATGCTCATTAATCTATGGGTTCACAACACCATTAATCTCTGGATTCAAAATGATTCGACAGGTGGAATGGTGAATCATGGTTAGGTTTAATTTAGGATGGAATCTTATCCATTGCAGGAACCATAGAGTTAAAAAAAAAGGTTTGATTCTACCAAAAGTTTGAACGTTCAAAAAGAACGATTAATAATTGGTCAGTTCTTACACCCATTGAAGTGCTTATTATGAGCGAGGGGAATTAGTCACTGTTGTTGACGCTGGACACCCTGCAATATGCACAAAAAAAACAGATTAATAACACAACTAATAAAAATTTTATAGTGGTAATCGTCACCTCAGTTACTATAAAATTTACTTGAAAAAAATATTTATTGGATAGATAATTTCTAGGTTAGAAGTATCATTGTCAGGCATCTAGCTAGCTTAGAACAATCAATCGTGCGATTTTTTTTCTAATAAATTTAAATGAAATCCTTTATTTATTTATTTATTTTTTGTACAATAGGGAGACTAAAAGTCTAGCAAACTCTAGATGATTACAACACGCTAATAAAAAAACCCAACTACATCACGATGTAATCAAGATTTTAAATTTGAAGGTGGTTCATCCAACCATAGATCACCGCCGGGGGTTGAAATAGCTAGACTTGCTAGGGAATCCATAGCGAAATTCCGTTCCCGATGTATGTGGTTCAAGTCCACAATTTATATCCTCTCCATTAAGTCTCGGATAGCCAATTAGCCATCACTAATCCTCTATGCATTCCCAAATTTTGATCCTGCCCTTCTACTATCTTCACTACACTCATTGTCAGCGTTGACTATAATCTGCCGGAAGTTCAAGTCTCAATATTGTTGTAGTCCTTGAAACAAACCTCATAGTTCCGCCCCGGTGATTGAGCAGATACCAATGTTCATTACAAATCCGCCACACTACTGGCCCTGTGGTCCCTCACAAGCCCCCTGCAGCTGCCATTCCCGTATAATTTTATGCATTCGACTAACGCACAGTTGACAACATTTCTTCTTCTTCTTTTTTTTTTTTGGGTGGGGGGCACAGGCAGACCCGAATTTAAAACTTTGATGGTTTAGAATATTTTTAATATTTTCACTTTCTATATTAATTATAAAATAATTTTCCAAAGGTGCATCTACCTATGAAAAGGGGAATAATGAATCAAAAATTCAAAAATATACATTAGTAAAATTGGGAACACTTTTGAGAGTGGTTGACGCATATTACGGAAGAAAGAAAATTTTACCCAGAAATGATCTTAAGGAGTGAAGACTAAAGCAAAATAGAAGTATTAAATTGTTGATTAAGTATGACATTAACAAGTACTCTTCAATCAATGTTAGAACTAGAAGATGAATATGTAACATTAGTACTTATTGCAAAATTTTAGTTTTTGAGAGGATCTTATAACGCGAATTTAGATTAATTAAACAGTGGCTTCGAAATTTGAATGTTCGAAACCAAAAAGACACCATTTCTTTTCCAGTGTATTCGCTCATCAATTTCTCATCACTCTGAATGTAGTTATTTAATTAACATAATTTTGAGTAATCATTCCTGTGTTGACTGTTGAAATAAGCGGGTAGTTGGCGCCGTTTCTTATTAAGATTGGGTTTGAATTTTATTTTATTTGGTCAACGAGTTCTAAAAAACTTGAATGTTTCTATTTATAATTTGTTAAAACGTTGAAATTAATGACTAAAAAGAAATCAGCCCGTAGATAACGTCATTTCTCATTTTGTATTTGGTCATCCATTTCTCAAAGTTTTGAATTTTGCAACTTATTTAGTTTATGGAGTATGTAATAAGATTACTTAATTAGGTCAATGTTGAAATGACCAAAAATAGCGGAATGAGGGAGTAAATGCGCCATTTGTTGTTTAGTTTAGATGTTTTATTTATTGTATTTTGGTGCATGATCAATTCATCAAAAGTTTGCATGTTTGTATAATTTGAATGAATCTTGTAGATTAATTGTGTTTATTAACTATCTGCATGATAAAAGATCTCCTTGACCTTGATTTTCCCCCTTTTTCTATGGATTGAATGAACAATTTTTTTTTTTTTTAAAAAAAAGGGAAATGAATAAAATGGTCTTGCTGCCAAAAGGAATAGACTCTCATAGTCTCATAATAACCTTAAACTATTCTAAAATGATGGGCTGTAGCAAATTATCCTCCCAAACGATGGGCTTACAGTGAGGAGGATACAGTTGACGATGAGCCCAAAAATAAAAATATTCATCCACTAGTAAAGTTTACTTTTACGCTCACTAAGAAACTAAACTGAGTTGAAATTTAATTTTTTTTTTTGGGGGGTGGTGGGGGGGTGGGGGGGCAAAAAATAAGGAAAGCATAGCCTATAGGATCTTGCATTATTTCTATGGTATAAGTTGTCTCCTATAATTATGGGAAATGATTGGGTGAGTTCACTATAAATATTATATTTGTATTATTACTCGCACAGAGTTATGGCTTAAAAAGCAATAACCTCGCGTGATTTGGTACAGAATCTGTCTCTACACAAAAATGCGTAGGAAGCTATCGTACTTCTTATTCTAGCATTGTTGATTAACCCATCTTTCGTACTTTTCACTAAATAACTGTGCATTTCTACAATAAATTTATAAATTTTTGGTTGGTTCTGTGCTAGAAAGACATTTATCTTATAAATCAAAAGGTTGCATTAGGGCGATAAATTACTCTACATAGATCATGGCCAAGCCACCATGACATCCGAAGGCAGATTGATAATGTATTGTAGTCTATATAAACCCCATGCCTTATGGTCCTTCAATCCCACTAGGCAATTTGCTAACCTTGTCGGCTTCTCTTTAATAAATAGATTTGCAGTTTAAGTGCAAAAGAAACTGTACTGTGCTTACTACTTTTCTACTGTTTATCTTACTATTGAACTTATGTGAAAAGGCTTGAAGCTAATGTTAATAAGAATGACAAACAAATGACTCCATCCGTGTGAGATTAACATCGTACGGAATAAGGATACAATAGAAGAAATTTCGTTTATCACCCACAAATAACTAACGAAATTTCCAAAACAAAATCGTAGCAGCTAATCGACATGGAATGCACTAACTCTCTGCCAAAATTTATTTTAAGTTTTTTTTTTAGCTCATCTTGCCAAAGGTTAGTACCGGCATATGATTCACCATTTTCTAGCCTTCTCTCGTGATATAATGATTCAAACTTTTTGAATCACTACAAAATTCATGTGCAAGTTCACCTGATCTTACATTTATGATCAGGTTTAGGGGGTTTACAAAAATTCATGAGAAAGTTCACCATATCGTACAATATGATTAAAAACACCATCGTTTTGATTCTTATTTTCCTTGCATATCACTAATACTATGAATTTACATAAGCCGGAAAGTACATATTGAAAACAATGATTTCATTTACAGCTACAAAATTTACAACTTCCGTTAAAGATGAATCTTACAGTATTATTTGACACACATATTTTATATGTTACTTCCTCTCTCCCAAAAAAAGGTACAATCAACAAGTGTGGATTATTTTTTTGGAACAGAAAGTATGTTATCAAATAATCAGTTTGACTTTCTGGGAGTGGTTTATTGTGTTTATCTTGAAAATTTAATGTTTTCTTCATTCATTAGGGTGTTCCTACCTCCATTTTCTGTGGTACATATATTCATAAATCAAATTTTCCTCTTCTAAATGATTTTAATCAAAGTATATCTTGAATATGATGAAAAATAACAAAGGACTGTGAATAGAATTAAAATATGTAACTACAATAGTATCTTAAGTGCACCAATATCTCTTTACCAACAATAAAGAATTGGATTCAAATCAACAATCAGTTGATCCAAGTGGTAAAAGTATTAAATCAACTTAATTATGACCCGGTTTCGAACTTAAGTATAGACATCTGAAAGTGATTAAAATATTTGTTAGGAGAGTTTTTACATTCTTAAAGCGATCTATCCAGTTTATATACGATTAATTGAAACAATAATTTTAGATACTCGGCGAGTAATATATCCAAAAAAAAAAAAGGAATTTGATTGAAATTTCTTACCAATATTCAAGTTTCCAATCATTATTAGAATGTAGTATTAGGTTCACTTAGGATTAAAGGTTAGTTATTATTTACCCTTTTAGTGTATTGAACTCGTAATTTATCGAAAATAGATGAGATTCCTTTAAAGTTATTGTAATATGGATATGTATTCTAATCTTCGATTTCGTTCAATTTTGTTACCTTATCCTCTTGCGCAAAAGCACCACCATCCTAAAGTGCACAACGTTAACACATTCTCTACCATAAAAACAACTGCATATATACATTTTATGCACAAAGCAGAGAACGACTAAACATCATAATGTCATTTTCATCTTCCTTTTTCTCAGTTCTAACTCCATTCCCAACAAAATGGGAAGGAATCTGTAATTCCCCTCTGAGGTTGCTCCAATTCACCCTTCTTTTAATGGCGATGATGATAAGTTTAAGCCAGGCAAATAACTACCACCCCATTATCCTCATTCCGGGCGCCGGCGGCAATCAATTAGAAGCCCGGCTAACTTCAGAGTATAAGCCTTCCGGCTTGTTCTGCGACCGGTGGTATCCGATCAAGAAGGATCCCGATGGTTGGTTTAGGCTATGGTTCGATCCTACCATATTGATAACTCCATTTACAAAGTGCTTTGCTGAGAGGATGATGCTGTATTATGATAATGAACTCCATGACTATAAAAATGCACCTGGGCTTCAAACCAGAGTTCCTTATTTTGGTTCTGTTAAATCCCTTCTCTATCTCAATCCTCGTCTCAAGTAAGCTAATTTCTTTTTTCTTTTTCTTGCTGATTATCTTTTCCCTAATTTGTCTCTGAAAAGAGGGATTCTTCTCGGAAACCTAAAGATTGGTTCTTTTTCCTGTTCAAACTGGTTAGTGTATTCTGTTATATAGTATTGATATGAATCAATCAAATCTCCAATTACATTGATTATGTGTTTTAAGAAGTTGGGTTAATTTGGAAGAGTTTGAGCCTATTTTCAATTTGATTGATTCAAATGGGGATAATTCAATTTTGCAGGAGATTAACTTCATACATGGCTCCTCTGGTGAAAGCCTTGGAAGAAATGGGCTATAGAGATGGTCAAAATCTGTTTGGGGCACCCTATGATTTTCGTTATGGTTTAGCAGAAGAAGGGCATACTTCAAGGGTTGGTTCAACCTACCTAAATGACCTAAAAAATCTAGTTGAAAATGCAAGTGCTTTATGTGATGGAATGAGAGTAATCCTATTATCCCACAGTTTAGGAGGCTTGTATGTTCACCAATTACTCACCAGGAACACACAATCATGGCGTAAGAAGTATATCAAACACTTTATAGCTCTCTCCACCCCGTGGGGCGGCGCAGTTGAGCAAATGCTCACATTTGCATCTGGAAACACATTGGGGATTCCATTTGCTAACCCTTTGCTTGTCAGAGATGAGCAAAGAAGTTCAGAGAGTAATTTATGGCTCTTGCCTTCTCCAACAGTGTTCCCTTCAGGAAAACTTCTCGTGATCACGAAAAACGCTTCGTATTCAGGGGCTAACATTGCACAATTCCTCAAAGATCTCGGGGTTGAAAACAGAGTTTATCCTTATAAATCAAGAATTTTGCCAATGCTCCGTAATTTTGACCTGCCTAGTAAAGTTAAGGTGACTTGTATGATAGGCTGTGGAGTTAAGACCCCGGAGACGTTGATTTATGGTGAAGCTGGATTCGACGAGAAGCCGGAAATCGTGTACGGGGATGGAGATGGAACGGTGAATATGATCAGCTTGCGGGCTCTGGAGATGGAAAGGAAAGGCAATAAAAACTCACATGAGTATGTTAAGTTGATCAAAATGGCAGGGGTTTCTCATGGGGGTATATTGAAGGATCGTGCTTCTCTCCGTAAGATATTGAATGAAATTAGTGGTATTAATTCTGGGCACGAATCTGATTCATCTGCATTGAGGACGACTCAATGATATTTAATGGTTTTTAGTTCTGAATTTTGATTCAGTTGTAGTTTGTAATGATTATTAGGGTGGTACCTTACTGGCATACCCCTGATTCAGTTGTAGTTTGCCGTTCCGTTCATCCACTTGTTGAATTTTATTTGGAGTTTGTTTTAGCTCAAGGTTATTGAAGATCACTTGAAAGAGGGTTGGTTTAGATTTTTTGTATCAATTGATTGTGCATAAGTTGTACTTTAGCAAGGAAATTATTATGGTCAAAATTATATTATTTTGAAATGCATGCTTAGTTACATGACAAATGAAACGTATTAATTTAAAATAACGTTACGACATAAGAAGGGATGTTATACAGAAGTTTCAATCTTCACAGTTGTGCTTTGTGTTTCATAGACTAGATTTTGAGGGTGTGGTGAAAAAATGAAAATGAAAGGGAATGAGGTTGTGTTGAGCATGAATCGAGGATTAGTTGGTGTTATTCGAGATTTGATTAATCAAGAGTAGAGTGTAGAGTTACGATCTGGATTTCGTAAGGCTAATTTTTGAACAGATTATTTAGTTTACTTAGCTTCTTTTTGTCGGGGTGTTGATGAATCTATTTTAAGATTTAAATTGTGGTCGGAACACGACATAATAATACGTCTTTCTCACAAAATCTATCAATTTCTTGATTTAGACTTTTGTCTCCCTTGTAAACAAACAAAAACACCCTCCCAACTCTTGAAAAAATGGTCTCACATTATTTTAATATTTTAGTAAAGTAGGCTGTCATAAGTAATGCCGAATGAAGGAAGCTTCCCATTTCTTGGAACGGGCTGAAGTTCCTTGAAAATGAGTAGCTCCAAGTTACAACCATAGTAGCCCATGTACGAGAATGAAGTTGAAGCCCAAACAGAAATGCATCCAGCCCGTGCGGCTGGAGGAGAGTGGGTGTGAACTGAGAAGTGTTTAAAAACTGGGAAGGCGGGCCCACAGAATTACAAACATCGGGACCCGCTCCAAATCATCATTCAGGCAGTGAAAAAGGTTACAGTTAGTAATAAAACCAAAAAGAAGAAAATCCGACACAGAAAAATCGATTCATCATCACGTTCAGACAGGGGGGGAAGACGACATCGAATTTTCAAAAAAAATTATTCTTCCAACTTTAACGGTTCTTTAATCCTTAATTTCCTCGATCAAATAACTGAGGAAATTATTAGGTAGAAGAAAAGGGGGGAATCGAGAAAAAGGAAAATGTCATGGTTGGCGCGCTCAATCGCCAACAGTCTCCGCCTCGATGACGATGATGATGAGGTCCGTCCGGAGGACGGCGAAGAAGCCGTTGACCTTAATGATGACGATGACGTTGACGTGAGGAAATCCCCTCCAAACGACGCCGCTTTGAATCCCGCCTCCAAATTCCCCCATCGTTTCACGGAATCCCTCGATTTAGAAGATGTAGACTTGGGAGGAGATCGGGATAGTGATTTTAATCGAGTATCGGAAATCGGCTCCAATCGCGATGCCGGAGATGGTGGTGAAGAAGACGGAGATGGTGCTGATCACAGTAATCACGGCCGGGGGGTGAAGGAAGATTTATCGGAATTTACGGAAACCCTAACGCGGCAATTGTGGGGCGTCGCCTCATTTCTAGCTCCGCCTCCGCCTCCTCCCCCGCCACTACCTCTACGAGCGGGATCGAATTTGTGGGGATTGGATCAGAGAGGAAGGGAGGTGGTTGAGTGTTCGGGTTCCGGTGACGAGGGGTCTTACAATGGGGAGGATTATTATGGGTCGGAGACGCAATTTCAGGAATTTCCGCACAGTTTCTTGCATATTGGGATGCCGGAGCCAGAGGAGGAGGAGGATGTATTCGAGGATGCAGTGGGGATTACGGAGGAAGCTCTGGATTTTGCAGAAGATACAGCTCATCATCCCGAGACTTGGTTGAATTTTCCCTTGATGGAGGAAGAAGAGTTTGAGGGTAAGTTCATCCTTCACAATTTTCTGATACTGTTAGCAAAATGTGAAGTACATTTAAGTTCAATTAGAAAATTCTTTTGGCATCTTGTGTAGAATATGAATTGGTATTCCCTTGATTAATGCATTTATTAGAGTTTTCGGTATAGCTAGTGTGATATGTAGCCTAATTGTAGATGCACACCCCATGCTGTATTTTTGCTTGAATGAAAGGTAGATTGAATTAGCTTGTGAGAGAGGATACATGTTTAAAGTTTGTTGGGAGATTAGAGTTAAGGTGGGTGGTCAGTGATTCCTTTTTGTTGGTTAAGAGAGTGATGTTGGTAGCGGTGGAGGAGTTTATAGGGGATTAAAATTCAAGGTTATGGATTTACTTAAATATTTTCCTTGTTTGTTATGGGAGATGGAGAAGGAAATGAGATGGAACAATGTTGCGGTTTCCTTTTCTGGTGCAACATTATTGAAGAAGCACTTTCGCTAGAGCAGTTACTTGGCAGAGTGAACGGGGATTTCAGGGTTTTTGGTAAAATTGATTGAAGTGGAGTACTGCAATAGGAATGCTTACGAAATGCTGAATAAGTTTTTGGTTGCTTTTCTTTGAGCAACTTTTAGAAGGTGAATGGAGCTGAAGATCTTAAAGGAAATGGCTTCATCATATAGTGTTCTGGGATGATTTACAAAGTTGACTTGGTTTATTTAGATTGTCTTAATAATGAAGGGTTTGAGTTCATACCTTTTGCAGTTTTAAAATCTGAAATGTTGTACTTTTTACTTTTTCTTCTGATATACCCTTCCTTGTGTTTCCAGATTTTGAAATATCGGATTCTCAGCACAAGCATGCTCAAGCTATTGAACATCTGGTACCTACATTAGCTGCTCTGAGAAGAGAACTTTGCCCTGTCCATATGACTGAGGGCTACTTTTGGATGGTCTACTTTGTCTTTTTGCATTCAAGAATTAGTAAGCATGATGCTGATCACTTGTCTACGCCTCAGGTATGTTTTAAGGTGGTTAGGTCCATTTTTCCATCTTGATTACTTAGATTTATCCATGAGTTTCAGCACTACATCTTGATTTTCCCTTTAGTCATTGATGTTGGCTAATGTAAATGAAGCAGGGTTTTTATTTAATATGACATGGTTTGTATTTTATAGAATCAAGTGAGTATTCTCTTGCTGTAACAAGAGACAATTTTCCCTTGGAACATTTTGCAGTTGGTAAAAGCAAGGGCTATCTGGATGAAGGAGCTTCAAAAGCAGACGAACCCAGAACCAGATTGGATAGGAAGTCGTAATTTACACTCGGAAGATAATATTAATTTTCCCTATGATAATTTGGATCACTCTTCCTTTGAAGACACACCAACTGGAAATGCATCTCAAAAGGCATTTCCTCTCAATTCTATAGCTTCAGAGGTGATGAATGATTACTCCGAGGCTGAGAACATCCCACATGAAAACAATGAAATCCGACTTATTGATAAGTCCATTTATGAGGAGCATTCAACTAGTAAGCCAGGGAACCAGCCATTAAGTAGTCCATCTTTTAAGGTTCCCATCCAGGAATTTGATGAGCATGAGGATGACTGGCTGGAAGATGACTCTGACTTGGAAGGCTATGTTACTACTTCTAATGCTTTCATAAATGAAGATGTGTCATTCAGTGACCTTGAGGATGATATCGATATGCCTGTAAAGTCAAAAGTTGTGGCGAAGTAGAATTGTGTGGTGCCTACATCATTGAACGTTGCTTTTGATAAGCAGGAGCATTTTTTGGCACGGACTGTTCAGCTGAGTGCCGCTGCCTCTTGAATCAGGTGGATTGTGGCTCTGGGCTCTCCTGCAGTGTGTTGTGCTTTTGTTTGGAGCAATCAAACTAATCATCAGAACAGGTTCAGTAAGGAAGGATCGAAAAGGTTCTGGAAACACTGCTGTGAAAGATATGCAATGGAGCTTCCTAAAGTCCCAGTGATTTGAAGTTTAAGAGTGATGATTCATTAGGCTCGTTGTACATCGTCTATGAGCCAAGCTTTCTGTACGATGCCATTTTTCTGTATTCTCTTCTATTTATTTGGCTTGCTTTTTGACGCCATTCCTCATTCATTTTCCATTGTTTCCCAGTCAAGTGTAATTATTCATGTAAACTGTAAAGTTCTCCTTTGCAAATCAGCTTGATTAATGAGAACAAATCACTAGTGAGTGAAAAGCCAAATTTTGTTATACTGAATGGACTTCTATTTGGAAGTCTACGAAATTTTGCACTTTTTACATATTGTTCCTCTGAAACAAATGTTGGTTCGTGGAAAGTGAAAAAATTAAAATAAGTGGGAAAATGAAATAGGTGCCTGGAAAATTTTAAGGGTATGTTTGTTCCGTTTTTTTAGTGTGTGTTTTTTATATTGGGAATATAAAAAATTGTATTGGAAATGTAAAAGAATATGATAGAATAAGACAGATATTATTATATTATTCTGAAAAAATTATGAGAAAAAGGAAACAAACAAAATTTGTGCCATTAAGACCTTTTGGGTATGATTAAATTATCATCTCCATTCTCCTCCCTTTCCACTCTCAATCAAAAGAACAAAAAGCAACCTAACAACTCTCCATCAGTTTCCAAGGCTGATCTCATTAGAATATAATAACTCTATAATTGCCCACAGATTTTTTCTAGTTTTCAGAAGACGCATATAGTATGACCTTTTTCTTTTCGTTAGTCGTTAGTAATTCTGTAGCATAGATCTTATATATCCACTAAAATCTTCTCTGAAGTTTTTTGTTTCCACAAATTTAATGCTAATTTTTTTTTTTTGGATAAATTATTAATAAATACTTTGAATATGTATTTGCCAAATATTCAAAAGATGAACATCATCAATGTAATTTTTTTGTGCCAAAAATTATATGCAATGGAGCTACACATCATTGTTTTCCCAGCACCGGCATCAATGGAGCTACTTAATGGCTAGTGTATCCATTTTTATTCTGCTGTTACAATCATTTTGTGTTGGCATGTTATAGATAGAGCTAATTGCCACAAAGCTGAAAAAGGGAAGAGCCATCTGCCCAGCTATGAGATATGTAAGTCTGAATTCAATTATGATTCTCCGCTTATTATGGATTGTAGGTTTTCAACTCCATTCATTTCCATCTCTTGAAATTTTTCATCTTCAACTGCTATTGCAGCTTCTGCTAATTGATAAACTCAGGAAAGATGGAGGTTTCTAGGGCCAGCAGTCAGATTTGTATTGAGTTTTCTTCCTGTAGAGTCGCGATCTTTATTTTGCAGTTTCTGATAGTTTTTTTGTGCTGCAACGTTATAGTTACAAACCAGCAAATCTGGAAGCAGCCCTGTCTCCGTTTTTTTTTTTTTTTTTTTTGACAAAACTTGTATTGAAAGAAGTGGATGATACTTACTTTAGAATCTTTCCACTTTCTTTGTATAGAATTGCAAGTACGGATCTCCATTCTGTATTTCCACTTGTGCTGGGAAAAGAATGATGTGTAGCTACTTAATGGAGCTACTTAATGGAGCTACACATCATCAATGATGGGAAAACTCAATGGAGCTACACATCATCAAAGATGTAGCTACTTAATGGAGCTACACATCATCAATGATGGGAAAACTCAATACAAATCTTACTGCTGGCCCCTGAAACCTCCATCTTTCCTGAGTTTATCAATTAGCAGAAGCTGCAATAGCAGTTGAAGATGAAAAATTTCAAGAGATAGAAATGACTGGAGTTGAAAACCTATGAGCGAGATCAAGCTCTTATCAATGGTGGTTAGGGTTTAATCAAGAGAGGAAAAGGGAAAGTGATAGAGCTGAAAATCATTCTGTATAAAATGTCTCATCTATCTCATTTAATTCATCCTATCTGTATTTATACTACACTGAGTAACTGACTTACTAAAGTTGAAAGACTAATCTACCCTTATGTACAAGGCTATACAATCAACTAACCAAAGGGTATTTCTGAGTATATACAAGTATGCTCTACTTCTCCATTACTCACTATATTTACACTATCAGTATTTACAGCATTCATTTGATCACTATTATCCTTCAATTCCTTCACACCCCCCTCAAGAGGAGCCGGAGGTGAATCCCAAAGGCTCATCTTGCCTAACAGATGATGAAAAACTGGGGCAACAAGTGATTTGGTAAACAAATCAGCTGGTTGCTCAGCAGAAGAGATATGATGGGGCAAAATGAAACCGGCCTTGTAGGAATCCCGAACGACGTGGCAATCGATCTCGATGTGCTTTGTCCGTTCATGAAAAACCGGATTGATGGTAATATATATAGCAGCTCTACTGTCACAGCAGAAGAGAATGGGAAGAGCAGGTGGAATAGAAAGATCAGTCATGATGTAAGAAAGCCACTTAAGTTCTTGAACAGTGGCTGCCATAGCCCTGTACTCAGCTTCTGCTGATGAAGTAGAAATGGTAGGTTGTTTCTTGGTTTTCCAAGAAATGAGACATGAGCCAAAGAAGATGCAGTAACCTGTCAAAGAGTGCCTACAAATCTGGCAGGACCCCCAATCAGCATCAGAATATGCTGTGAGAGCATGAGTGGAATCAGAAGGATAGAAGAGGCCTTTGTCAACAGAACCATTCAGGTATCTAAGGAGATGCGTTGCTGCATTCCAATGGGATTCATGGGGTTTATGTATTAACTGGCTAAGCTGTTGCACAGCATAAGTAATATTAGGCCTGGTGAAGCCTAAATATAACAATCTGCCCACCAACCTTCGATAACCAGCGGCATCTGAGTAAAGAGGTGTGGGATCTTTCTTAGGAAACTTAAGATCTCTGGGAAACGGGGTAGAAATAGGAGTAGAATCTAACATGCCAGTGTCTCTAAGAAGATCACTTATATATTTGGTTTGACATAGGTACATCCCTGTGTCACTTCGGGCTATTTGCATTCTAAGAAAATACTTGGCAAGACTTAAGTCTTTGATAGTGAAGGCTTGGTCTAGAAGCTGTTTGATCCTAACAGTCTCATCATCATCAGAGCCAGTGACGATGATATCATCAACATATACCAGAAGGATAACCATAAAACCAGATTTCTTCAAGACAAATAGACAGGAATCATGGTAAGATTGATGAAAGTCATAGTTGAGCAAAAGAGAAGTAAACTCACTGTTCCATTGTCTAGACGCTTGTTTAAGTCCATAGAGAGACCGTCTTAATTTGCAGACTTGAGTGGCAGTGGCCTTGGTATATCCTGGTGGTGGCAGCATGTAGACATCTTCTTCCAAATGTCCATGCAAGAATGCATTATTAACGTCCAGTTGATACACATTCCACCTCGATGTGACTGCTAAAGCCAAAAAAAGTCGGACTATGACTGTTTTTGCAACGGGAGAAAACACCTCAAAGAAGTCTTCACCTTCAATTTGGTTGTACCCTTTGGCCACAAGTCTGGCCTTATAACGTTCAACACTGCCATCTGACTTGCATTTGACTTTGAAGACCCATTTACATCCAATTGCTTGTTTGCCAACAGGTAAGGTAGTGAGATCCCAGGTCTGGTTATCTTCCAGAGCTTGTAGTTCTTGATTCATGGCTATCACTCACTTAGCATTAGTCCTGGCCTGATTATAAGTTCGTGGCTCTTGCAAGTCTGATAGATTTGCTAAGAAAGTCATATGTGCAGAAGAGAACTGACAAGAAGAAGAAGAAGGTGGCTGATATGGAAGTTTCTTCTGGGGTTGGATATAACCTTCTAACCTTTTGGAAGGTCTTTTTTCTCTAAGACTTCTTCTAGGAACAAAAGAATTAGTTTGTTCACCGGAAACATCAGTGGAAACCGGTGAAGGTAATGTATCATCAGAGGATTCATGAGATACATCAGAATGCTGATGATCAAACTGCTCCCTATGGGACATAGAAGGTGAAATGTCCTTGGGAGGAGAAGAAGAGGTATGATCAGAAGGAAAAGAGGTAAAACATTCCTTAGTTAATGGAATAACTGGAGAAAAGTCATCATCTATGGATACATTAGGAAGAACTAGATCAGATGTGGAGGGACTGATGGAAGACTGATATGGAAATATATGTTCATAGAAAAGAACATCCCGTGAAATGATGATCTTTCTAAGGGCTGAACTATAAATCTTGTAACCTTTCTGCCCTGTAGGATAACCCACAAATACCCCCTTTATAGATCTGGCATCAAACTTGTCTTTGTGAGGAGCGTTGTTGACTACAAAAGCCAAACAACCAAAGGTTCTTAGATGTGCTAAGTCTGGCTGTTTATTGTGAAGAACCTCATATGGTGTTTTCCATTCTAAAACAGAAGAAGGTATCCTATTAATAAGAAAAGTGGCAGTGAGAATTGCTTCCCCCCAAAACATTTTGGGTAAAGAGGACTGAAATAATAAGGATCTTGCCACTTGTAAAATATGTTTATGTTTACGTTCTACTACACCATTTTGTTGTGGTGTGTAGGGACAAGATTTCTGGTGGATGATGCCAAGTTGGGAAAAAAGCTTTTGAGTTTCTGAACTGAGAAATTCTGTGCCATTATCACTTCTAAGAATCTTGACACTTTGTTGAAACTGAGTTTGGACTAAACTGAAAAAATGACTTAAAGTGTCAACTACTTGAGTTTTATGTTTGAGGAGAAAAGTCCAAGTGGATCGACTGAAATCGTCCACTATGGTAAGAAAGTATTGTGCATGTGTAAGTGAGGGTTTACTATACGGTCCCCATACATCAACATGCAACATCTCAAAGATTCTGGTAGTTTGTATAGTGCTCAGAATGAAAGGATTTATGTGTTGCTTGGAAAGTGGACACACTTCACACAGAATAGAAGTAGAAGATTTATGATCAAAACTTTGTTTGCATGGTGAAATATATCTCATTACTGTTTCAGAAGGATGTCCTAAGCGATTATGCCAAGTAACAACGCTTACATTGGCACTAATCTCATTGGTATTATCTGATGTAGAATTACAGGGAAAAGAAGTAACTCTACTAGAAACTGAAACCATTAACCTGAAATAAAGTGACTGAGATTTCTGTATAGCTTCTTCAGTGAATGAATATGAAGTGAGTATGTAGAGTTCTTTGACTATTGTGCCTGCTCCAAGGACCTTATTAGTCTTGAGGTCCTGCAACAAGCAAAAGTCGTCAAAGAACAGAAAGGAAATTCCAGATGTTTTTGCTAATTTTCTAACTGACAGAAGATTGTGTTTGAAAGTAGGAACGTGAAGAACAGAAGTTAGGATGACATTGCTAGA